AGCTCTCTTCATACCAGCAGACATGTCCTCTGAGTCAGAACCTGACAAAGTCATCGATTTTGCTGTGAAGAAACTGGGAGGCTTGGACTATCTGGTTCTCAACCACATTGGAGTGACTCGCTTTGCCATGTGGAATGGAGACGTGGATCATGTCAGGTGGCTCATGAAGGTAATGGAATCTTTTGATTGTTTACCAGGGATTAAAAACCAAGAGGGTGCCCTGATGTTTCTTTTATCTCTCTTTCTGGGTTTTATAAAGCCCAATTTCTTCAGCTACATACAAATGGCCTGGAGGGCCTTGCCCACATTGGAACAAAGTAAAGGCTCTTTGGTAATAGTGTCATCAATAGCAGGTAAGGTTCATTAACAGTTGTTACTCTATTAAAGGCATAGTGGAGGATTTTCCCAAGTTTTTGAAAACAACTGCCCTCTCCACTTTAAAAAAAATGCACATGCTCAACCCTATACCTGCTCATGAGAGGGAATGCCTATTAAACACGTGCAAGAGTCTGCACAAGCCCATTTCTCCTTGTGCATGTTCTGTTTAAGAGTTGCTGTTTGCATCGCTCATACAAGCCTACTTTCCAAATGAAGATTTGCAATTTTTAAGTTAAGTGAGAATGAGGACAAGAACATAGGATGGCCTTACGTCAACATATCACCAAAATGATTGACAATTAGGAGGACCACTTATTTTGATGATCCACCTGGGAAAAGAACATCCTCCACTATATCTTTATTTAACAAACTTTTGCTTAAATTTATAAAAGAATTTTCTGAGGTATTCATAAAGTTTTGGTGATATACACTACTGTTCAAAAGTTTGGGATCACATAGAAATGTCCTTATTTTTTAAGGAAAAGCACTGTACTTTTCAATGAAGATAACTTTAAACTAGTCTTAACTTTAAAGAAATACACTCTATACATTGCTAATGTGGTAAATGACTATTCTAGCTGCAAATGTCTGGTTTTTGGTGCAATATCTACATAGGTGTATAGAGGCCCATTTCCAACAACTATCACTCCAGTGTTCTAATGGTACAATGTGTTTGCTCATTGGCTCAGAAGGCTAATAGATGAATAGAAAACACTTGTGCAATGTTCACACATCTGAAAACAGTTTAGCTTGTTACAGAAGCTACAAAACTGACCTTCCTTTGAGCAGATTGAGTTTCTGGAGCATCACATTTGTGGGGTCAATTAAACATTAAAAATGGCCAGAAAAAGAGAACTTTCATCTGAAACTCGACAGTCTATTTTTTGTTCTTAGAAATGAAGGCTATTCCATGTGAGAAATTGCTAAGAAATTAAAGATTTCCTACAACGGTTTGTACTGCTCCCTTCAGAGGACAGCACAAAAAGGCTCGAGCCAGAGCAGAAAAAGAAGTGGGAGGCTGCGTTGCACAACTGAACAAGAAGATAAGTACATTCTCTAGTCTCTAGTTTGAGAAACAGATGCCTCACATGTCCCCAACTGGCATCTTCATTAAATAGTACCTGCAAAACACCAGTGTCAACATCTACAGTGAAGAGGCGGCTGCGGGATTCTGGGCTTCAGGCCAGAGTGGCAAAGAAAAAGCCATATCTGAGACTGGCCAATAAAATAAAAAGATTAAGATGGGCAAAAGAACACAGACATTGGACAGAGGAAAACTGGAAAAAGGTGTTGTGGACGGATGAATCCAAGTTTAAGGTGTTTGGATCACAAAGAAGAACGTGATACGCAGAACAAGTGAAAAGACGCTGGAAGAATCCCTGACGCCATCTGTTAAGCATGGTGGAGGTAATGTGATGGTCTGGGGTTGCTTTGGTGCTGGTAAGATGGCAGATTTGTACAGGTTAAAAGGGATTCTGAATAAGGAAGACTATCACTCCATTTTGCAACGCCGTGCCATATCCAGTGGACAGCGCTTGATTGGAGCCAATTTCATCCTACAACAAGACAATGACCCTAAACACACCTCCAAATTGTGCAAGAACTACCGTATTTAGAGGAGAAGAGGGCAGCTGGTATTCTATCGGTAATGGAGTGGCCAGCGCAATCACCAAATCTGAACCCCATCGGGCTGTTGTGGGAGCAGCTTGACCGTATGGTACGCAAGAAGTGCCCATTCAACCAATCCAACATGTGGGAACTGCTTCTGGAAGCGTGGGGTGCAATTTCTCCAGATTACCTCAACAAATTAACAGCTAGAATGCCAAAGGTCTGCAATGCTGTAATTGCTGCAAATGGAGGATTCTTTGACGAAAGCAAAGTTTGAAGTAAAAAAAAAAATCTCATTTCAAATGCAAATCATTATTTCTAACCTTGTCAATGTCTTCACTCTATTCATTTCACAATGTATGGTGGTGAATAAGTGTGACTTTTCACGAAAACACAAAATTTTTGAACTGTAATGTATCTAGTAGCAATAGAAAGTAACCATCCAGTAATTAATAATAATAATAATACATTTTATTTGTATTGCACTTTACATTTAAAAAAAATCTCAAAGTGCTAAAAAAATCTCAAAGTGCTAGTGCTAATTAAGCAGATCAGTTGCCATGTGTGAGAATTTTTGAGGAATATTAATGTTTTTTGGTGTTTCTGAGTATGTTAATGGCACATTAAATAACAAAATGAAAAAATGTCCTTTCTTTCCAGGAAAAAAATTGAATTTGGTGTTTTTACAATATGCCTAAAAAATATAGAATTATCAGTTTCCTTTTTATTAAACTAAGTCTATATTAGGGATGCAACTATCGATCTTTTTGCAAATAAATTAATCTGGCAATATTTTTTTTCAATTAATCAGATAACAAAACGTTTCTTAAAGAAGACTTTTTATTAAATTACACCAGGTGAAACTAAAAAATTTAAACTTGAGGAGTTCTGGATAGAGAATATTGACAGATAAATGTATTTTTTTTATTTAAATAGAGAATGTTTATATATTTTTGTACATTTGTTGTATAGTTACTGCTCTATGTGGGTCACTCTGTCAGCTAAAGGCCAGTTTTACAGCATCCATACTCCAGCTAATGATTAATCAATTACTAAATAAGTTGACAATTATTTCATTAATCGAATTATAAGTGTATATCCTCTAATTTTTAACAGCTTACTTACAGCAACAAATATATACTAAATGTCTATTTCAGGAAAACACAAATAGCTGCTTTATTTAGAACTATAGCACCAATTCTCATTAAATGTGAAAGAGTTTTAAACTAAAGACTCAGAGGAAGCCACAGACTTGTTCACCTAAATAACTTGACATCTATCTGTTGTTTTTTTTTAAGTATCTCAAGTACTTTATAGTGTATTCAGGTATTTGTCTTTGGTTTGTAGGGAAAATGAGCAATCCTTTTGCAGCCCCATACACTGCAACAAAAGCTGCCTTGAATGGATTCTTTGGCTCCCTCACTCACGAACTTGCAATGAAGAAAAGCAACGTGTCCGTCTCGTTATGCACTCTCGGATTTATTGACACTGAATCAGCACTGAATGCAGTCAAGTTAGTTAACACCTTACAATACATATTCTAAGAAATTTTGCATTGTGAACTGTACCAGCTAGGTTTCATATCCTGTTTCTTTCTTTTGTACTCCAGGGGAATCATTACGGCACCAGCGTACCCTGCTTCAGAAGCTTCATTGAATATCATCATAACAGGAGCAACAAGGCAGCCGGAGCTGTTCTACCCCTGGTTCACATATTTCATGAATCTCATCAAAGACTGGTCCCCCTCCTTAACAAACCATCTCATCCGGAACTCCGTTAACTACAATCCATAGAAAACATGTTTATGATCACCCCCTCCTAAAAAAAAATTACATATTTGATTCTGAAATGCACTTACATCTTACTTACAATCAAATGCACTTTAATTTAGTGTATGAACTTTTTAGATTACACTTTTTGACCATCGTTTTTGTTTATCAAATTCAAATCACAAGTGAACATGGTTTCAACACTGCTATCAAGCAGCAGTCATGGTATATCTGTATAAGTTTCAATGCTATGATTGGTAAGGAAAATACAGTTTGGCTTTTGTTGCAAAATCCAAGCAAAGTTACACGCAAGAAATTATAGAAATTGGAGACACGAAATAATATAAGTCATTTTTTTTTGCAAATTAGAGAGAGACAACCTTAAGACTCACATGTTAAGATGCCTAAAGTGGGAAAGAAATAGATTGGTGACAAAGAAATCAAAAAAAATATGAGGCGTGCATGAAGTCATTTTAATACTATATTACCATGTTATTATAACAACACATTTTACAGGTTTTAACAGTATTGTTTGGCTGGCCTCATGACTTTGGCTGCTTGTCAACTTGCTTAAAAGTTGAATCTTATATGACCCAGCAGGAAGCAAAGTCGGACAGTATACAGTACTTTGACAAATTACAGCAATTTTTTGGCCAATTTTCCTCATATGTCCTGAAGCTTTTACTGCTTTTAGAAAAGCGATGCCTTTAAATTTACACAATTTCAAGGTAACCTCCGTCAATGCTCAAAAGTGATCGAGACTCAGGCTCAATGATTCATTTCCGTTTTTTATCCATATCACTAAACATATTGACCCAATGTTTCATTTTATAGCAAAATGTCCTACTTTATGTCTTTTGTATCTTTTGATTTCATAAAAAATAGATTTGATTTCATAAAAAAAATGTTTGAGTAACCTGTTTGATGTAAACTGAGTCAATTCATTTCTTGCTAATGGATGGTAAGCTGTTGAAAATGCTTTGGATCGCTTTATATGATCTCTAAATGTCCACATGAGGGCAGTAGTGCATAAGCTGTGAAGAAGCACCACTGCTCCTTTCCAGGTCTATTAACAGCAGAACACTATTATAAGATTATATGCATGTCCATGGGATGAAGCAAATATAAATTATGGTTTAAATGTTAAACAATAGATGTTTATAACTTTATATCTTTTTGCAATTAGACTGTGAGGGATGTACTCATGTTTCTATTTTTGTGTGCATCACATCCTTTATTCTGAGTATTCTCTATGTTCCTTAGTCTTGTCCTCAAAAGGTAGCCTCACTGTAAGAACTGCAGACTCCTTACAGAGCAGGACCTTCTCACTGGGTTTCTTTGTGCCTTTGTTTGCCAACCTCAAAGGCCCCAGAGGCTCCCTGTGCAGCTCAATCCATCCCGGTGGTCTACTCCTTTTGTAGCTCACTCTAAAAGCTGCACCCCACTGTTAGAGCAGTTTTCTACTGCTTATCAAGACGGAGCTGTCCTTGTCATAAAAGAAAAAAACAGAAATAGTGCAGCCTAAAAGGCTTTTTCAATTGAACGCATATAGACAAGATTCTAGAGGCAGTGAAAACCCTTGGATGTGGAGTGAGTTGCTCTCTGTTGTCTTCTGACTGAAGGCGGAAGTCATTGAAACACATGTCTTTATTTCAACACTCTTAAGGGAATTTTAAACCTTCCTATAGGCACCGCAAAAAATGAAAACAGTCCTCATTCTGTTCGGCCTTCTTCTGTCCTAACCGTCGTTAAATTTGCAGAGAAATCCTCGGCCTCCTGCAGAGGAGAGCAGCCATGGCCTGGGAGCGAAGCCAGAAACACCTGCAACAGATTAGAGCTGCTAATGCTAGGTCATAAATCCTCTCACCCTTCTAGAGAATCTCCTTCTAAACCATACATAGGACAACTCACCCCCTGTGGAACCGTGGTGCTAACTGCGACACATCAATGCAGCACGTTTTTATACCACAAGTAGGAGAAGCAGGTACATTGTCAAGGTTATCCCCTGGATGTGGCCTCTTGGTCAAGATCAAACCATTTAGCTGTGATTACGGCCAGAAAGCAAAGCTGAGGACAGATGGAAACCTGAAAAAGTTGTCAGTGGTAGACAGATTACCCCTTTCTTAAGGTTGTTATTGAATTCAAATAAACAATTTTTCTGAGATTCACATGATCTCTTAGGAAAGAGCATTCACTGCAAGAAAGATCAACCCAAATATACTGTATCTCTATTAGTGTTGCACCGATTACATTTTGTGGCCCCGATACGATACCTGATACCTGCAGTATGGGCCGATACCGATACCACCTGTTTGAAACTGATGTGTGTGTGTATATATGAAGAACTGCATACTACTTGGATGTACAATAATTGCCATTATGGCTTTATCAAGCTGCTGCCTACCTTTGTGAAGCAGACTAATACAAAGTGAATCCAGTAGAACTTTTTATTGCCTACCTGGAATGGGTGACAATAGTTGAATAAACTTTTGGCTCTCAAAATGGTATTGGTGCCCTATTTATTGGTAATCGCCGATACCAATACCAGTATCAGGGCCCCGCCCGATACTGGTATCGGTATCGGTGCAACACTAATTTGTATATTACATATATGGTGATAATGCATGTTTCTTTTCTGCAGACAATGTGTCCTCATGATTCTGTTATTTTACAGACTTTATTGAGCACAAGTATAATTTCTTCATTAATCTCTGTCTAATGCCTAGATTCCTTGTAGTGTATACTTAACACACTAAAACCTTATGGTGTTTTGTAGCTACTGGTTGCCGTTCACAAAGAAGAGAATAATGGGAAGTTAGAAAATGGAATCAGCATTTCATTAGATTGACTTTACTGTAAAATGTAATCCATTTAACTTTTTTGCTTATTCTGCTTTCTTATAATTTACCGAATTCATTCATGAAAGACACAAAGGCAAATAACCCAATGATTTTATCAACGATATTGAGATATTTCACTGAGAAAAAATAGTACCCTGTATTTGTTTCTTTTCACTTCACTATTTTGTACATTTTTTTTTTTTCAGAAATATCAGAAAAACCTTCAAGTCTTGGGAAAAAGGTCTTTGCCCACTGGAAATTTTACTGTTTTCCATTTTTTATGTTAGTGTTTCGAAACATCAAACATGTTTTTCAAGTGATGATTGAATTTTACTACTATATACATCATTCTCCTGCTGCATAACCCAAATACACTCATGGTCCCAAACTGATGGCCCAAAATTACACTTCATGATTTTCTTGAAGAACGCAGAATTCATCCTCCCATCAATTACCACCAATTGTTCAGATCCCAAGCAGCAAAGCAGCCTCAGTCTGTGGTTCTTCACAAAATTGCATAAATCAGTGATTTTTCTTCTCACCTGTTTTTAAGTTTCCATAGATCAGAGCATGATGTGAAGCTTTTTGAAATCTATTAGCCTACTTCATGTTGTCATACAGGCAGTGGTGCATGAAGTACTCAAGAGTAATACTTGAGTTAAAGCACTCAGCAAAATCCTACGCAACTACAAGTTACTCGGTCAAACATCTACTCAAGTTAAACTATTGAAGTATTCACTTTTGAGAATATTGAAGTATTCAAAAATACAAATAAAATTTTCTAGCTTTAGCAAATTTCTGTATTATATTCAGAGTATTTTTTAATAACCTTGTAACTTTGAGAAAGCGGCTGATGTATAGATGCGTAGAACCACCTGCTACAAATTCTACAACATCTGTAAAGAACTTCAGCATAAAAATGCCACAAAAAACACAAGAGCTGATTACTGTTTATTCTTATTTTAAAAAACCCAAAAAGAAAACAAGTAAATTTAGTTTCCTCACACTTTCACTATATGGAATAAAGGTTTAAGGTTGAATCTTTTACCGAAAAGAGACAACTTGGCCACATTTCAACAAGTAACGCCTAATTAACAAGTATAAACAATAAACAGTATCTGCCCAGAGTTTTTTTTAAATTGTAGAATGTAGCACTAATCTCTAAAAATGTGGTGTTCTTATTCAGTCCTAAGTGCTGCTGTCTGACATGTTTAAATTGAATTTCAAGAAAGAAAAAAAGCAATAGCGGATTACAAAGCAAAGCTGAGTGAAAAGGAACAAGGAGCAAGCAGCTTCCTAGAAATGGAGTTGAGTAGAAAGTACAATATTAGACTTTGAAATGTCTAATATTGTCTGAAAAAAATGACTCAAATAAAGATACTCAAAAAAGTACTTGTAAATGCACTTTGTTACTTTCCACCATATAGGCATATAGGTTCCATTCAAGAGATTCTAATTCTAGAAGTTGCCAGCATGAGATGAGTGAACTAAACCTATAGTTTTCTAAACATAAAGTAATCAAACAAATTATGTCATGAATGAACAAGTGGTAGAAAGTAGTTTTTACATGTATGCTAGGCTGGTTTGAATAACTGTTTTCTGCTGCTAAATATAATTTTGGAAAAAATAATTTTACTGTAATGGTTTAATGTTGAATTTATGATTTATTATAAAATAATTGTAATCTTAAAAATTTAAGTTTGGAAAAAAGTAGTAGTCTGTAAAGCAGCACTTATCTTATTTGGAGGACTGTATTGAAGTTTGTATTTTTGTGAAATTATGTAAAAGTTAAAGCAGTATGACTGTATTTGAAACCTATGGTAAGTATTGTGATGGGGCCAGTCTTTTTTTAAGGATAAAGCAAACTGGTTTGCTGTTGTCAAAAAAATCTAAATGTAGGCTGAAAGCTGATTGGTTGAAAGTAATACCAACTAAGAGGGACTTACAACAACTGTTATTTCTGCAAAAAAAATAATTTTAAAAGCAGAAAAAATATAAATCGTTAAAAAAAGACAATAAATTGAATCAAGTTCCTAATTTTGATGTTATGATTCCTACAAAATAGGAAACCCATGCTAAACAATTCTTTGTTTTCTTTATGTTTTTACACCTAGTAACATGTATTTGGTTTGTGTAGAGCAGGGGTCGCCAACACTGTCCACGGGCACCAAGGGGCCCTCAAGGACCACATGGGGTGCCCTCAACGCCTTCTGAAAACAGCAACTCAGCAGTGGGCTAAGTTTGAAATTTTATTTTATTCTGTGACTCTTCTTTTTAGTCATTTAAAGAGCATTTCATCATAGTACTCATATAGGGCATTTTAGCATTTATAGAGATTTTAAAA